ACTCCCATACATCGACTTGCTCGCAAGCAAAGCATGCCACTCAAAATTGCTTTGTACTCTCGTCTGAAATATTTATTTGTAGCACCATATATGAAGGGGTTAATGGAGCTACTCAGATAAACCAAGAACCCGTATGTAAGATACGCCTGCCGTGCCAAAGTGGGTTCCCCGCGCGCTGCGTCAATGTAATCGATAATACACACAGGAAGCCAACAACATGCAAAGCCAACCATTACTGCTGCTAAAGTCTTGGTCACTTTTGCTTCTTCCACGTTAGCTCTGAGCAGCGGCTGTGGGTTATTTTCTTGGGAGAAAACTCTATTTGATCGAGACACTGTGTAGAACACCTTAGCGTAGCAGATTGTGATAATGGTTAAAGGGGTTCCAATATACACGCACTCAATAAAGATCGTATAAGCGATGTTGGTGTCGAATGTGTACAGGCACATTGCTTTACCGGGCTGGAATTCAAATCCGCCATGTTTGAAGAGAAATGGAGGCACAGATCCAATCAAAGCTGCACACCACACGACAGCAATATACATCAAAGCCCTTTGTTTTTTAAACAACACGATGTACTTTTCTGGTTTCACAACACAGAAATATCGGCTCACTGCAATTATTCCCATGGTGTGAAGAGAGGCCAGTCCAAACGTAAACACTCCAAATCCGTGAAATCGACAAAATGTTTCACCAAAAACCCACTTTCCGCGGAATAAAGTTACAACTGAAAAAGGCATACAGCAGGTGGACATTAGAATATCGCTCACAGCCAGCGCTACAACAAACATATTGGAAAGCGTTCGAAGCCTTTGGTTTCTGTACACGGCGTAGCAAACGGAGAGATTTCCAAAGAAAGCCGCAACATTAATAACAGCAAACAGAACTGTTTCAATCCAAACTAGATAGTTTTTTCTTGTAGGCAAGCTCAAAAGAGAGCGGTTGTGCCGAGTCCATGATTCGGAACGATTTTCTGATCAAGTCATTAATAACATTATCATGTTATAGAATAAAAAGGCATACGAAACCCATTATTTTAAGAAACTCGTTAAGTCCTTTTTGATCTTTGAAGTATAAAAATTGTCGTTCATTAAGAGCCATTGTATCCTCTAGCTGAAATCAACAGCTTTTACCTCAAATAATTATGAGATATCTCGCGGACACCCGATAGGTCCATCGATCCATGCAATAATTCCCGTGTTTCATGGCAAATTGAAAAAATGCACCTGTCATGTCCGCTGCATTAATATAAACATTACTTTTTTCAGATTGTCAGAAAACGGAACTGTTTCTTGATTTGTGCACTTGTGGAATCGTGGTTTGACAAATATGTGACCACGCTATTTGACAAGGGTTCTAACATTTGTCGAGCTGATAAGTGACACTGATTTTAATTTGATGTACTGTTTACAATTCACCATGTGTTTAACCATTACCCGCTTTTTAATTAATTTTTTCGTGCAATCATAATAAACGAAGTATACCACTTTGACAATCTAAAAATGACCAGAAATCAAACAAATAATTTTCATGTCTCAGTAATACAAATCCCTTTCTCCACTGGAAGAACTCAGCTTTTCGCGTAATAATGAAAATACATTTAAATGTAATGAAAAAGTCTTTCTGTATTCCATCCTATAAACCGTTACAATTTTGAAACTGAAAACTAAATTGAGTTTCAGTCATAGTCATTATATGATGTCAATTCATTTGAATTTCAATTGCAAACGAACTTGGTTGGCGCGATGTTGGACACAAGTCACGAGGTCTTGATAACATTTTCTCATTAATTAAGTCTCTGGGTTTAACCCTTTCACTCCCAGAAGTGCCAAGTTCAAAACTGAGGGAAAACAATTTTGAATTTCATTTTGCAAAATTTTCAAAAACAAACAGCATCACTTGAAGTACTGCTCGATAGCTTTTCATTTGGATGGTCACACACGAGGGTTTCATCCATAGACATTTACAACCACATTTATTGACTCAAGTTTGAATCTGGGAGTGAAAGGTTAAGGTTAATATAGAAGTTGTCATAGTTGAATTGCTACGACCACCATACAGCAGGAAATTAAAATAACCTTGATACATATTTGTTAACTTTATAGCACAAAAAGAAAAAACTGTCACATTTTTTGTCGCTAAAATAGTTCGGCGTCTATTCTTAGATGCCGATTATAGCTGGAATCGTTTGTTATTTCTGGGGACTTCCATATAAAAGTGACGGGGGTGATCGTCATACATTTAGTGGTTACAATTCGTGGCTAGCGTGGTAAAATCTCAATCACACTGTTAGTTATTCTGGTACCTTTTATGGTATTAAGGGTCTCCACAGACTAGAGAGTGTCGATCATAAAAAGTTGTCGATGACAAAAAAAGCCAGTGTGTGAAGCTAGTTATCGATAACTAGCTTCACACACTGGCTTTTTTGTTATCGACAATTTACTTTTTATGATCCGACAACTTAATAGTTGTCGACAACTATCTCTCTAGTCTGTGGAGGCCCTAAGCCGGAAAAAATATACGTTAGCAACTACAGTTTTGTTTTCAAATTGGTACCTCTTAGAACCACTCAATACTTAGGTCATTTATATCGGGGGGGGGGGGGGGGGGGGGATAGAGACAGGGACTGGGACCGGAGAAACCATGTTCTCACAACTTGCAAAGGCGATCAGTTTTGTTTTGGTCAGCGGTGTTTTCATAAGGCTTCTTTTCACGCGCGCGAACATAAACTATTTCGCGATTATTCCAACACGTTTCAATTTGTCCAATGTGGCCGAATTGTCAGGAGCTGAATTCGTGAATTAAAGTCCAGATAGAGAAAGGAAAATAACCATCGCGTGTTCACGTTCCCATTATACCGTGAATTTGGACATTTGACGTTTTTTGTTTTGCATAGGACGGCAAAGAAATGTAAATTCATAACGCACGTGCGTTTTGTTTTGATAGGAAGCACGTTTTTGTTATGCACAGGACGGCAAATAAATATGCAAAACACACGAGCAGAATATTGTACTACTAATTACACCTGTTGTTTTTTGACGTTCTCGTTGTCGTCGTCGGTTTTTTTCAGCATAACTCTGGAAGAATTTGTTAGATTTCCAAAATTGATGCACGGTTACAAAGATCCATCCTTTCTGCATCAGATGACTCCAAAGTGGACATATATGTTCAGTTAGCATGTTAAGGGTTAAGAGCTTCGTTAAGGTTGAATCCCAATAGCATAATATTTAAAAAGTTAAATTTATCGAGCTTGATAGATAATATTACTCAAACTGTTGCAAGCTCTGTAGCTTGTGACGCACTGATTCTTCTTATAGATTTTAGCTATTGGGAGCTATTGAGATTTTAATCTATGTAGGAAATACAATTTATGTATATATGCCTGGATTTTTAGAAAAGTTATCGAAAGCGGGGCAAAAAATGCCGCTAACTTTTCGGTGAGTTTCAAACTCAACCTTCCGCGGCCGACAAAACGTGGAGGGGGCCTCCGTCCAGCTACATGCCTGGAGGTAGCCTAGGCTTCGGGCTGACAGGCAGTGGTTGACTTTCGACTCGGTGCTCTGGCACTTTGTAGCTGTCAGATTTGAATTTTGTTTGTGGAATTTGTTTGAAGTTTGAGTGGTGTGCAAGTGTTGGTTAGATTGCTTCAAAACATTGACTTTGTTGAAGTTTAACAAGCTGGGCACACTGGCTTGTCACTCAGACAGGGCTGCCTGTGTTTTTTTTGCTGGGCAAAAGCCAGGGTGGGTTCCCTCAGGGCGATACGGTTTTGATAAATCCATGTACAGATGTATATATATATATTTTGTTTTCGATATTTGAAATATTTACTTACTGTTTTTATTCCAAGTGTCCTCAATTTGTTGTATAGCTAAACACATTAAAACATAAATAAAGTTATCGTTGATTGATTGATCACTTCCGCGCTGTATTAGAGGATATTACACGGCGGCGCGAAGATATGAATTTTATTTTTGAGTGGTAAAATATTGCTTTTACCACGAGAAAATAAATTCATATCTTCAAGCCACCGTGTAATTTTCTTTTTATTATATAGACAAAAAGACAAAAGCACAAACGTTATCGCGAACTCTTGCAGCTCGGTGGCTGGACTTTCCGAATTTCTCTCCTTTCGTCTTCACTTGCAAGGAACTCCTGGAATAATTTTAAGTCATATGAAGTTTTCTTCTTCGTGTTAACATTTTCCTACTCCTCAGTGAACGATTTCATGTCGGCTTCAGTGAATTTCACGAATCTATCGCTCGCCATTTTTCAACCGGCGTTTGGCAGCTTTGCACAAAAGCCATGCAAAAGCGGGAAATGACGTCATCGATATCCTCACTAGTAAGGATATGGAAAATACACCACTCGGGTCCCGGATGTAGTTTCGTATGAATTTTACGAGTGGTCTATTTTCCAGTAAAAAAATCGTGTCGAAGGGTATTCTGCTACTTTCTATATTTTTTCTACTGTTTATTATTTATATAAAGTACATTATAGTTTATCAAATCGTTTCTTTTTTTAAGTTCACAGCAATTCAATTTCTTGGAAAGAAATGGTGGTATATTTTACAGTAAAGATGACGCTACCGTTGCCACTCGACAAAGTTTTTGATTAATTTTTGACATCTTTTTGACAACTTTGATGGGTTCCGTTTTGTGGCGCACATTTGAACTAGACTAGAAACTGAAACCATTCAAATTCCACGACTCCGCCTCCAACACGTCTTGGATTTTGATTGGTCAAGTCAAACGGAATCCATTCGAAAGCCGTCAAAAAGTTGTCAAAAAGATGTCAAAAATTAGCCAAAAACTTTGTCGAGTGGCAACGGTAGCGTCATCTTCACTGTAAGTTTGGTAGAAATATGAGAAAGATATTATTCAGTTAGTGATGCAGTGATGCAAGCAACTCAGAAAAAAATTTCCGAGTTCTCCAAACAGGAGTTGAACCTATGATCTTCCGCACACCGGTCGGACGCTCTACCACTAAGCTCCCACGAGTCTCCTGTAGCTCAGTGGTAGAGCGTCCGACCGGTGTGCGGAAGGTCATACGTTCGACTCCTGTTGCGAGAATTCGGAATTTTTTGTCCGAGTAGCTTGTGCCACTGACTGATAAAGCACCTTTCTTAATTCAATTCTACCATGTCAGACTAGATGGGACTGCGGTTCCTCGTCTGCCCCCTCAACCATGACATCTGATGGTCTTATGTTAGACTGTGGCATCTAAAGATCGAGGAGAGAAGAGTTTTCAGAGGAAAGTTAGTACATAAGAATAGCACAAATTAGAAAGCAACACATCATAAAGTGCACAGTTGAAATGTAAATATATTGTAGACAGAGGAAGAAGACAGAGTGGGTTGTTACTGGACCTACAGTACAGCATATCCCCGCCAGAGTACTGATTCCGCCCGAGTAAAGGACGGACCATTAGAAACGTGATGGGGGAGGGGGGAATGGGGAAAAACAAACACAAATTCATGAACGGGGAAATGTATCCTCCTCCGCAGGCAACTATAATCTTATATAAGAAAAGAGTGAGAGACTGGTACGGAGGATAAACGGTGACCGAGTCCGGTGGGGACGGGAAGAGAGGAAAGAAGAAAGAGTTGCCTGCCAAATCCCGTGTAGTGTACGGACCGGCGGAGGAGGCTAGGGGAAATGATTCATGCAAAGAGCCGAAGGCAAAGAAAAAATCCACGAACATCTCTAAATAATGAAGAACTAGAATAAATTATATGTTAGAGCAAAACAATTCATTTCTGAAACATGCGTGTGGATTTTTAACACCGACGTGCTACCAGATTTAGCGCATGCTGTGAATGGAATAAAGCTGATCCCCTAGCAACTGATAAACAAAACAAGACTCAGGGATGGTGGGTAGGGGTAAAAGTAGTCAAAATTATCCTCCAGCGTTTTATGAACCGGCCGCCCGGTAATAATTAGTGTACACGCTGTTTGAATCTTGCTTAACCCTAACAACGCGTTGTCGTGCTTGCGTGCATGTTTGTAAATTTTGAAGATGATTCAATTTGCAAAATTTCTCGGTCACGCTATCTGTTTGCGTGATGACTTCCTGCAAAGTAATTTTATATTCAAATTTTGTAAGCTATGCTGTCTCGGGTTTCCACCCAATTAACTACACGTCTAGTAAACCGAAATTTTCTTGACTTAAAGTAACTGTTCTGAACACAGTGCAGACACCATGTCTGTCGTCGAGGAAAACTGGCAAACGACAAGACCCACCATCAGAGAAAGAAACAAGTTTATGTTCAACAACGATCTTTTCAGTGATGTGAAGTTTATTGTTCCTAAGAAGGGTGGCGAAGATGACAGTAACAAGTCAAACAAGTGATTCCTGCTCACAAGTTCGTGCTGTCGATTAGCAGTCCTGTGTTTGAAGCCATGTTTTTATAGTAAGCTGGCGGAGACTGGAAACTCCATTGAACTGCCTGACTGTGAGTACGAGAGTCTGTTGGAATTGTTTCGTTATATGTACAGCGATGAAGTGATCTTGAGCGGAAGAAATGTGATGGGAGTGTTGTATTTGGCGAAGAAATACATGGTGCCACCACTGGCTGATAAATGCACGAAATATCTGCAAGCTAACTTAGATCCATCAAATGTATTCAGCATCCTGCCCTCTGCTCAGAAATACGAAGAGAAAAACCTGGTGGATCAATGCTGGAACTTGATCGATGGGCAGACAGAACAGGCTGTGAAATCAGATGGATTTGCGACAATCGAGAGATCCTTACTTGAAGCAGTAGTCGCAAGAGACACTCTGACGATTGAAGAGATAGAACTGTTTAAAGCTGTCGACTTGTGGGCAACAAAGGAATGTGAAAGAAAAGGATTAACAGCAGATGGTGCCGTGAAAAGAAGAATTCTTGGAGAAGAAATAGTCAAAGGAATACGTTTCCCAACAATGAAACAAGAAGATTTCGCCAGCGTGGTGTTAGACAGTGAAATCTTGAGAAAAAAGAAATCGTCAGTATTATCAAATATCTGAATTCAGACGCGAGTCCCACTCCAGAGGGATTTCCGGTAGAAACCGAAAGATCTGGAGTTGGCAGTGTTCAACGATGTTGTAGATTTGGATCTTCAAGCTGTAGCATTGGTTGGAATTATAGTGGCAAAAAAGACGCCATCAATTTCTCTGTGAACAGGGATATTGTGTTACACGGAGTGTGCTTCTTTGGTAGTAAGAATAATACTTACTCGGTCGATTTGAGAGTAATCAACACTGAGAGTAAATCAGTTTTGGGTTCGAAAACAGGACAATTTTCCTCTGAGCTATTACAGTGTAAAAAAGGTAGCTATTATGGTTTTTAAAGTGTTATTTGACAAACGAATCATTTTAGAGAAAAACACCACGTACTGCATAAGGGCTCTGATATCGGGCTCCACTTCGTTATTTGGACAAAGCTGTATCAGTCCTGTTAAATGTTCAGGTGTAACATTCGCATTTATGGAGGCTGAATACCCTACAAATTTTACGGGTGTTACAGGGGGTCAATTTCCCGAATTGATGTTTTCTCTTAAATAAATAAATATTGAACAATTTTTGCCAATTTATACAAATAAAAACCAGTTGAAAATGCTCCTAGATATATATAAAGGAACTCGAAGTGACTGACGAGATTTGAATCTGAGAAAATAGCGATTGCTTTTAAAGAAAACAGATATACAAGTCCAAACATGTGGCCAAACTGGGGAGACATCTTTTTGATGGTTTGTGAATAGAGCAGAAATTATTAACCCTTTCACTCCCACGAGTGCTACGTTCAAAACTGAAAGAAAAATCATGGATTTCTTTTTGCAAAATTGTCAAAAACAAACAGCACCACTTGAAAGTACTGCTCAATAGCTTTCATTTGAATGGTCACACACTAGGGTTTCATCCACAGACTTAGAAGTTAGAACCACCTTGTACAGCATAATAAACAGTAACCACATGAAAGTACTGCTCAATAGCTTTCATTTGAATGGTCACACACTAGGGTTTCATCCACAGACTTAGAAGTTAGAACCACCTTGTACAGCATAATAAAACAGTACCACATGAAAGTACTGCTCAATAGCTTTCATTTGAATGGTCACACACTAGGGTTTCATCCACAGACTTAGAAGTTAGAACCACCTTGTACAGCATAATAAACAGTACCACATGAAAGTACTGCTCAATAGCTTTCATTTGGAATGGTCACACACTAGGATTTCATCCACGGCCTGTAGGTACATTACAACCACATTTATTGTGACTCAAGGTTTGACTCTGGGAGTGAAAGGGTTAATTTGTAACTATATTGGTGTTACCAATAAATGTTTGGATAAGAAAATAACTCATTTCCCAAAATAAGAAATGTAATTGTTTTGCAAGGGAACACCAATCATGTGAAGACGCTCTTTTAGATTTTTCTCGGGTTTCTCTAAGGAGAGCATTCTATTGAACTTTTAATTATCAAGAGTGATCCACATTTACTTTCTCCTTACAATATCAATACAGTTGACAAGCAGACATGTGATGAGAATATAGAAAATCATCATCTAAGACATATAATTTGTTTTAGTGATGTACAACCGAATTCTCAGAACTCAATTGATGTAATATAGGACAATAAGAAAGGAGAATATATATTTTGAGCTTGAGAATCAAGGGTTAAATGAAGTACAACTTCTGTCGACGTTTTTGAGCGGTATTATTAAAAATCGCTTAATGTAACAAACAGTTTTCTTATCACAATAAAACTGCAATAACCAAGCTTGTTCAACAACAGTTCTTTAGTTTCACGGTCTCCACTAAAAGTAATACCCAAGCTCCTCTTTGCTTTGGCAGTTGACTGACATTCGGTTAAAAATCCGAATTTTATAACAACTGACAACTAAAAATTACAGTTGAATTGTAGCACACTACCTGCATATGTCCAAGCTGTGCTCAATATTGTTTTACAGCTATCGACACTTTGAAAATTAATGAAATTTTTAGCCTGAAAAATGAACAGCAGGTCACGTGACTCCGAGCTCCGAGGGGCCCATTGAGGATGTTGGTGGACAACCTGCGATGGACTAGTAATGTTCCCAGCCGCCTTAACCGTCTCGGTGAACAAAGATGAGTTGTAACCAGTCTACCGTGCATCATACGGCTACCGACATTATTAACCGTCTCACAAAAGCTCCGAATAAATCACGCCCTACGGCAGTCTTGGCCACTATTTTTCTCGCGCGCGATTGATCTAAACACGTCAAGTAACGCAGCCAAAACTGGTAATATAATAGTTTACTGAGGTCATTTAAAACTGTTCCACTCTTAATACCAGGAAGTCATCACACAATCAGATAGCATTACCGAGAAATTTTGCAAATCCAACAAAATCAAAAACCAATCATTCTTCTTCAAACTTTACAAACACGTAAGTACGACAACGTGCTGTTAGGACTGCAAAGATTCACTACTGCTAGTGTTGATTGCAATATTTGAGGGATTATAAGTGATCAAAAACAATTATTGGATGAGGTTGAGCATGATAGCGAGACTAATTATCAAGGCCGAGGTTTGTGGGCTGAGGCGGATAACACAAACCGAGGCCTTGATAATTTCGCTATCATGCGAAAACCGAAATCCAATAATTGTTTTATTATACATTTGAAAAGCTAAATCATCATTTCGGGCTTAACTTTGCAGCATTTTGTCGCTTTTTCCTTCGCGGATTGTGGAGTATTTTAATTTGTTTTTCGTTGCCGCTACGCGTGCTAGTGCATGACGTCAATCGAGATGCATTGTCTCTAGGTTTGACGCGTAATTACACGCATAAAATCCTAATGTCTGTAGGTATGACGCGTAATTACATGTATAAATCCTAGTGTCTGTAGTTATGACGCGTTAATTCGATGCCAGCGTCAATTAGCTGTATGCTCTCAGCCAATGAGAATCGAGATAGTGAGCAAAATGTATAATATATCATTTGTCTGACACTTACCATTGTCATTACTTCAGCAAGCTTGGCCTCGTCATTTTCGTGTTTGCAATACTTCCAACACACGATCACGATTGCCACAAAGATACACACCGCCAC